CCATAGCTGCCATAGCTGTAGTTAGTAGTGAGTGTGTGTGTGTGCTCGAGTGTTAGAGTGATGCGTGTGGGATATCCAGGGTGATCCAGTGTATGTGAACAGTGAGATGTTTGGGCGCTGGAGTCGCCATAGCCATTTGAGAGTGAACTCGTATCTGAAGCCATATCTCTGAGTTTTGAGTGGGCGCATGTCGCCAGTGTGCTGCGTTACTGTTTACATGTGTGAAAAGTGTGTTTGAAAACGAATCTGATTGCAAAGGGACTAAAGGGGGTTAAAGGGGGGTGCCTTAGTCTGAGTGTGTTGTTGTTGTTGCTTTTTAAGATGCCTTTCTTTTTATTAAACCAAAAGGGGTCGGCCACTCCGCAGAAAGACCGGACCTGGGAGCCTTACCCAGTGTTATGCTTTTGACGAGACCTGCGAGGGACCGGGTGCGAGATTCCGTGAGGAATTCTGTGGTGACCCTTGGCCAAAAGTGGCTTGCGTCGCAATTCTACACAACATTTTTTCGTCTTTCCTGGATTCTTTTTCTTTCCCCCCACGGGGCTGCCTAGGCCTGCTTGGAACCCTGCCCGGGGCTCATGCCTGGCCCGGCACCTGGGCATGTATCAGGGCACAAGCTGGGTGCCCGGGCTATTGGAAATATTGGAAAAACAGCCTAGTCAATTTATGAATTTTTATTTTTCATTCCCCCCGTTTTCCTTCTTTTCCCTTTTTCTTGACAAAAAGGGGACCGCCTTCCATAAGCTTTGTTGTGTTTCAAATTTCAATTTATTGCAACTTATTTTGTGCACATGATTTATAACTATTCATTTAATTATTAATCAATATGGTTGCAAGGAATATGAGTGCGAACGATATACAGAAAACCAAGTTGCGAAATCACACAGACGTCCAGGTAGTCGAGACCAAGCAGAGAGTACAAAATGCACCACGACACCATCCATATAGAGCAATACAATGAAGTAATGAGCCAATGTTCAAGCCCGTAGGCCACACGAACACAGTATCCAAAGTCGCTCCTCTTCTGTCTGGCGCCCAGCGCCCAGCCTACTCTGCCCAACTATCCTACCTACAGCTGGTTCACGCAACAGGCTCACTTCGACTCTCGAAGACCAATGTACATGACTGTCAACACCATAGCCGACCTCTCTTCATGCACCAGGTACGCATCTCGTCACCCTCAATCAGACCTTGATTACCCACACTCGCCTCCTTCCTTGAAGCCCACCTGATCTCCCTCCTTACCCCCTGGCGCCTACCAGCTTGGCTATGGCTGCCTGCGCCCCGCTGCCCTGCAGCGCCCCAACTCACCACTACGCGCCCCGTCAGCGCCTTTGGCAGCAGCGCAGCATCAAGCGAGAGCGCAGCAGCACTTCCGCATTGCCTGCACTGGCCAGAATGCCTGGCCTGGGCTGCCTCACTTCTTTTATGGAAGTGGCAGCCTCCTGGATGCTGCATGTGGCCTGGCTGGAAGCTTCCAGTAGCTTCCGGTTGGGCCTCAGACCCTGCGCCCAGGCCCGAGACTACAGTTGAGGGCCTGGGCCCTTTTCAGTTGGGCACGGCCTGAGTCTCTGGACTTGGGTTGTTTGCTGCATCTGTGCACGGCTCCCAGGCAGGTGCGTCAGCAGTACGGCTTTTCCAAAGGCCGATGGCCTGCTTCACAATGTATCGGCCCTGCTTTGTGTGTATGTGCCCAGGCGCAACTGTCAAGGCATTGGCCAACTGTATGACGCAGCTTAGTGAGGCTCACGTGTCTACCCAACCAACTGGCGTGCTGCAAGAGCCTGAATACCCACATATGAAAATGTCGAATTTTGGCCTCTGATGAATATTCAGGCCCGCCTTCACTCAGGGTGGGCACTCGGCTTGCTGGGGGCCTTAGCCCAGAACAGGTGATGTCTGATAGGGCCCCTTGAGGGTTTGTTCCTCACATTCCATCCCCCTTAGCTTCGAAAGTCCGCTGAGATGCTTCATGCGGGTGCCTTCCCCTTCAGTTTCCTCTCATAATCTGCCACGATCTGAGGAGCTGTCTTGACAAGTTCCTCCCTTGAAATCCATCGATCTTCCTTAGGATCAGTATGATGCCTAAAATGTACTTTGTATTCCCTTGCAGGTTTAGGAGGTCTTCCCCTGCCAGGTGGCTTGGGAACAGGCGTGTCTCTGTGATCCAGGATATCATCGACGTCCACGTGGCCATCCATGGTTGGGGCCAGCATAGATCTCCGTGATGGGAACTGTGATTTCTCAGCCAAAGGTGCAAGCTTGGAGGCGTGAAAAACAGGGTAAGTGTGTAGGTGACCAGGGATACGAATGACGTACGAGGGACTATCCAAATCATTCCCCACAATATCCAAGACTTCCCAGGGACCGAAATGCTGAGGCATTAGTTTCCTAGAAATGCCAAACTCCTGTCCCAACTCACTAACCTTGACCCAGACACGTTTCCCTACCTGAAATGTGGATTGTCCGCGTTTCTTATTCTCAGAAGCAATCATGGCTTCTTGAGATTTCTTGATGTGTTCGACAGTCTGCTGCAACAATTTCTCGTATTGGACACCAAATTCAATGGTTCCAGGAGTTGCAGCAGTTCGGTTTTCAGGCAGGAGGACGTCTAGAGCAGATCTAGGCTTCCATCCCAGATGCAGCTGATTTGGGGTGACCCCGATGGTGTTGTGTATAGCGTTGTTGTACAGGCTGGCGATGAGAGGTAACTTCTCATCCCAATCATCCTGGCTGGGCTTGATGTAATGCCTCGGCAGATGCTGCACCACACGGTTCATTTGTTCAGCCTGCCCATTTGCTTCGGGATGATTCCCAGAAGTCATCTGAAGCTGGCTGCCTATCTGCTCAGCGGCCTTCTTCCACATCTCGCTGGTGAATCGCACATCTCTATCACTAACGATTGTCTTTGGTAGCCCGAAATCATGCACCCAGTTATCCATGAATAACTTAATGACGTGTTCGGTCCTGGCGGTCTCTGGCATGGCAACTAGTCTAGCAAACTTAGTAAACCTATCAACTATGACGAAGATGTGTCGCTTGCCATTCTTGCTGGTCACGAGAGTATCCATGAAGTCCATGGAGATGCTCTGCCCTGGGCCAGCAGGAATGGGTAGAGGCTCGAGTAACCCAAGCGGAGCTTGAGTCCGCGACTTACCCCGCTGACAGACCTGACAGGTCTGTACGTACTTCTTTGCATCGTCTAGCATGTTAGGCCACCAGAGTCGCTGTACTAAATTAGCACTAGTCTTCTTGTAGCCGAAATGTCCCGTTGCGTCGTGACACTCACCTAAAAATAAACTACGCAAAATCTCCCTAGATGGAACAACTAACCTTTTAAACTCTGCATTTTCAAGAAAGAGTAACCCATCCACCATCACAAACTCGTAAGAGGTGGCCTTGTCTTTGGCCTGTAGTTTGTTGATGATGTCCATCGTGATGAGATCTTCCTTGTAGGCTTCCCCCAAAGATCGAGTAACGTCCTCAAACAAGCCAAACTCAGAGATCAACGCAACTAGGTAATCTGTCATGCGAGACAACGCGTCTGCAACCTTATTGTACTCTCCCTTCACATAGTTTAGTTTGAAGTCATATTGATCTATGACTTCAATCCAGCGTTTGAGTGCATCGGAGAGAACAGATTGGGTCTTGATCCACTTGAGGGTTTGATGGTCAGTTCTCAAGT